CCCAAATATTTATTTAGCATTAATAAGCATATTTTATTGGACAAAATAGAGTAAAAGTCATGTTATTTGTAATACCCTAAGAGATATAAAAAGACTCAGTTTTAGACAGCATAGTAATAGTGATAAACTGGATTTGAATTTGATCTCCAATTTAGAGAGGTAACAACTATATACTGGTGAAGTTTCAGGAGCAATTAGTTCTGTATGACATTTCGTGTAACAACAAACTTCCACTATGCTGTTTTAGACCAAGTTGGAATGATCATGTTTATATAACAATCTTTTAATTAATTGATCTAATAATAAACACCTTTCTAACATTCTAATAATACTGTAATAAAAATATTCTCACTAATAAAACACACAACATTTACTCAAGATAAATCTTGACCTTTGACCTAACTAACAAACTGATAAAAAGAACCTTGCTGAACTCAGCAAGAAACCACAATCTTAACTATTGAGATACATCTCAAGGGGACGCCTTTGGGATATAAATAGCTGCATAATCTAGGGATCTTTTATCCAGGTGGGTAGGCTGTAAGATAAAAGTAATATTGACCATAAGTCAGCTGGTAGGCTGTGTCAAATAAAGGAACTATCTAGGCAGGTAGGCTGTAAGATAGTGGAATCAACTGTAAGTCAGCAGGTAGGCTGTGTGTTGAACATAAAAATAAAAATAACCCATTAATTAGGAAACTTGGATTGCACACTTGCAATACTCTATTAAAAATGACATGTAAAACAATGCCAAGAAATTAGCTAAAGTAGATGGAAAGACTTTGAGCTGATAAGGTGTATTATGTTTATTATTATTAATTATTATTGATATTTATCACAATGCTAACCACTGATGTATACATGTATGTATAGGCTTGGGCTTTCATCAATAATTGATTTGTCTTTTGAATTTGATAGAGGAATGCATGCTTGGTTTGGTCAAGATTGGGAAAATTTAAAACAAAATGTTTCAAATCATATAAATTTAAAAATAAAAAAACTTGAGGGTGAGATTTTATCTGATATCATTAAAATAGAAGTAAAAAGTGAGTTTTGTTATTGTATTGTATATTACATAACTAATTTCACTTTTTTTAGTTTTGTTCTGTGTACAGATATTGGATGGTGCATATATACTTGTTGAACTAAAAGAATGACCTAGTGATGATAAGCATTGGCAAGTTATAAAGATATATTATTTGGTGTATGTTATCATATGTCTTTTGTATATAATTATTTTGTTTGTTTTGCTTGCTTAAATCCAACTTTTTCATTATTAGAATTGACATGCTTTTAGAAAATCCTCATACTTTTGTTGATAAAGAGGGAGGAAATAAGCAATTAACAGAACTGGAGTATATCATGAAGATGACAAATCCCATTTTAGATTTGAAATGGTGAGTATTTTTGTTAACTTTGAAGTAGTTCTCAATTGTAAGTCTGATTTGTTGTTTATGAATGATTGTAGGGGTGAAACAGTTTCCAAAGCTACCACAAATCATAAAATTGATTTAAGAATATTAACTGTTGATGGCATAGAGTTCGGACCTGGACACTTTACTGACACCCACTTTACCAACACCCGCTTTACCAACACCCACTTTACTGACAACACACTTTACCAACAGGACAATTTACCAACAGGACAATTTACCAACATGACACTTTACCAGCAAGTATTGTGTTAACAATTTGCCAAGGACTGTGTGAAGACCTGGATAACTAGCTAAAATTTGGTTTGTTGTGCAGTGAAAAACTCAGCCATATGTCATAACTAATAACACCACTTATTATCCTTACTTTGCATCAAAAACAAGTTCATAAAAATACAATACAGATACATGTGTAATATTTTTTTTTTGTCTGACAAAATTGATAAAAATTGCATATTCATGTTATTTTTTTATTAAATTTATTTATCAATCATTTACAAAAAACTTTTTTTGTGACACATTATTATTATTTTTATATATACACAAAAAAAAATTTTTTAATATTAAAAAAATAACAAAAAAAATTTTAAAATGAAATATTATGGGCAATGCCACAAAGAACCTTTATAGTTGATTTAATATTATGGTCATTTAATACTGTTTGAATCCATATTTCATGATTACAATCTTGTGGTTTCTGTGGGGGTTGTGGTGTTCCTTGCAAGACCATTTCTACCTCAAGTTCGACTTTACTTTGATTGTTGGTAAAGTGTCCTGTTGGTAAAGTGCCCTATAAAAAATAACATATGGAAACAGTACATGAACTGTATTGTTTTACAAAATAGGTACAGAATGGGTACAGAAAAAATGCACAGAATCTTCCTGTTAAATGTGCTGAAATGTACAGAATTTGTGCAGGATAGATATGGAGTAGGTGTGGAATGCATACAAAACATGCATGGAATACACATGGTTTTTACAGAAAACATATGGAATTCATTTTTCTTGATGTTTCCTGTATGAATTATGTGATGTGCTAACTAATTTCATATGTTTTCCATAAAAACCATGTGTATTCCATGCATGTTTTGTATGCATTCTGCACCTACTCTGCACCTACTCCATATCTATTCTGCACAAATTCTGTACATTTTGGCAAATTTAACAGGAAGATTCTGTGCATTTTTCTGTACTAGTGTTGGTTTCCAAAATTAGAGAGTTTCACAACCATGTGAAAGTCAAAAGGTTTCACCATAAGTCAAAACTAGTTTTGATTTTTGACTTTTGATTTTTGACTATTGACTTTTGATTTAGTTTTGACTAAGGTTTCTGGTCAAAACTGCTTCTATTAGTAGCCGAAATTGCCCAAATACTTTGGGCAAAAATTATTTTTTTA